GTGGATCTGGGCCTGCGAGCCCTCTTCCACTTCCCATTTTGAGTCAGCAACTATCTGGCTCCATATGGGAGCCCTGACTACTGTGTGATTTGGGGCAAGGGTCTTTGTCTCTTATTGGTTGTTTTGTTTCCCTCTTGGTTCTTTCTTCTTTGGGATTTTCCAAAGGCAGAATGGAGCTAAGATGGACAGAGTGTGGGTAGCAAGGGCTGTGGAGCCAAACATTCCAGGCGGCTCTTATCCTCAGAGACTCCATCTCACTGTTGTGTGACCTCAGGCAAGTCACTTAACCTTCTGAGACCAGTGTCCCCATCCGCAGAAAGGGACAGTGGTGCCTCACTCACAGGGCTATTGTGGGTATGCCTAGGACCTGGCACACAGTAGGCCCTACAGATATTGGTGCTCAAATGACCAGGACCACACATCCATCCAGATATAATCTCAGATGAGCTGGATTTTCCACCTATACTGTTCACCAAGATAGAAGCATGCCCCTTATCAACTCCCCATAGCCTGATCCTCACCCAGAAGGTTTTGTGGGAGCACAGGGAGCAGCTTTGTAGACCTGGCTATGAATGACAGCTTCTTCACTTACCAACCAGGTCAAGGACTCAAGTCAGAGGAAACAATTCTTCTATACTCGTAAATGGAGATGGTAACTTGCAGGGGTGGCAGAGACCAGACACTGCAGACCACCGAGCCTGACACTTTCTGAATACTCTTTAAGGTGTAGCTGCTGTGGCCGAGGAGCCTTATGTCATAGAAGCTCGCATATTGCTCTGTTAAAAGGTGTCTAGTGATTCGCAGCCTATCACCTATTTCCACCAATCTGACACTTCCAGCTCTGCCTTTGGAGGCCAGGTCCCATCTTCTTTCTCCATGGCTGACTGCATGCAATGACAAAGAACCAAAATCAGACTTGCTCTCCTTGAGGAGGAGCTGGGTTCTGTTCCATGCTTTTCTCCAAGCTCCTTGCATTCCCTGGCTGGTAGAGGTATCACTCCAGTCTCAGCCTTGGTCATCACTGTGGCCTTCTCTCTGCGAGTCTGTGTCTCTCCCTTCTTATAAGGACACCAGTCATATCAGATTAAGGGCCTTTCCTACCCCAGAATGATCTCATTCTAACTAATCGTATCTGTAATTAAGGTCACATTCTGAGGTTCCAAGAAAGACATGATTTGTGGGGGAGACTCTCTAACCCACTGACCATCATGCGTACAGATAATTCTCAGGAGCCCTTGACCCATACCTCACCACATTGTCTTCTCTAGATAACTTTTTTGGCTGAAAGAGACAGACACTCAGTCCCAGCTAACATAAGCAAAAGATTGAGTGTATTAGCTTGGAGAAGGGATGCCATGATTAGTTCTGGGGAAAAGCGGCACCAGGGTTCCAGGGAGAGAGGCACCAATGAGGCCTGGGCAAGCTCTGAACTGGGTCAGGAATGATATGGAAGCTTAGGTTATAGGGAGAGGGACATGTTCAGACAGGGAGCCCCAAAGCCTCCTATCTCAGCTCTCTTCCACCAGGAACCCCAGCCTCCCTTCCTCCCTCAGCTCCTCCCAGTTCACCGGCCCCTGCCATGCCTTGATATTCCACATGGGCAACCAGGTTGTTAGTGAGAGCTGTACTTCACAGCACACTCCCCTGTTCTTCAGCAGCCTCCGGCAGGCAGTGTCCCCATTGTGCAGATGAAGAAAGTAAGGGCCTAGGGGGTGAGCGGCATCTTAGCAATGCATGTGAGGCTTCGGACTTGAGTGATGCTAAACCCCCAAAGCCAGCGGACACCCTTAGACGGGTGAACAGGATTTATCTCAATCCCTGAAAGTTCACAGAACACAACAGATACCTTTTTTGTGTGTGCATTTGAAGAGCAGCTGTTCACAAGACTAAATGTTTTGAAAATCGGCAGTTTCTTAAGCAGGTTACCATGAACCAGGGCCGGGCAAGGCTGTGCTTGGATAGAATGCACCTACTTTCGTGAATGGTTTGAGCACAGGCCTAGCCCTGCCCTGCTCTGAGAAAGCCTTGTATTGTGGATCTGTGCTCTCCCTGTCAGATCTCATTCCGAGCTGTTTTGCAGGCAAATGGGTGAAATTTCTTCCAGTTGACATTTGCCTGCCATCCTGTCTCCTCATATTGTTCCTGATAAATCCCTGAGGACAGAGGCCTGTGCAGTCCCAGAGGTGGTGCTGGTGTGGAGGGGCTGGATTTCGACATGGCCCAGTTTCTCCTGAGCTGGGAGCCCACTAAGGGTTTGGTGAGATCTGCCCTCAAAACACACAGTGGTCCTTGTCCAGGGACCTGCAACCAAATGAGGAGGGGACAGAGGGAGAGGGACGAGTTATGAAGAAACTGCTTTGCCTATTTACGACCCGAAATGTGAGAGCCATGGCTGTGCTGTAGGTGGAGAGGGCAAAGCTCACATGGTCAGGGCTCTGCTTCTAGGATGACTCAGCTGCCCCACCTGGCTCAGGCCACTTGGACCCCACCTGACCTCCTCCAGGACACCTTGGACAGGCCTGCAGCTCAGAGCAGCTGTCCCTAGTGAGCCTGATGCTTCCACAACCAAGGAGGCCTGGGCTGCGGCCAGGAACAGGCCCTCCTGGGAGTCACATGATGGGGGGGGGGGGCTGCTTCAAGACAGCGCAAAGGAGGGTGCAATAACACCTGTGTCCTCGGCGCTCCTGCTTCAGGGCCAGCGCCCAGGGAGCAACAGCAGAGTAGGGCTGATGTGAAGGACAACAGAGGTGCCAGGAGAGTGCCCACGGAAAGATGTGGCCTCCCAGGTCATGGGCAGGTCGGAACTGGGAAAGGAGAGGCCCAGGCCTCTGGAGAATGGAGAACCAGAGATTAAAGCAAGGAGGACAAGGCAGTGGATGGAGGGCAGAAGCAAAGGTATGTGACTTCATGTCATTCCTGAGCGAGAACATTGGAACAGTTGGAACTGAAGCAGCAAGCATAGTCAGAGGACTGAATGCCCATTTAGAGCCTGGATATCCTCAAGAACAAAAGCCCAGTGTTTTTTTATTGATTTCAGAGAGAGGAAGGGAAAAATATAGAAACATCAATGAGGAGAGAGAATATTGATTGACTGCCTCCTATACACCCTCTACTTGGGATCAAGTCCAAAACCGGGACATGTGCCCTTACCCAGAATTGAACCATGAACTCCTGGTTCATGGGTTGAGGCTCAGCCACTGAGCCACACCAGCTGGGCCAAAAGTCCATATTTAAAGTCCTGCAATTAGACACATCCGTGTCAAAAAGTTTTTACATACAAGAATGGAGAGACATCCTATAAGCATTGGAGGAATCCGGTGGTCACCCCACTATACCCCAGTCGTTGGCTGTCCCTGTGACTCTGCCCAGTGAAAGGATCCCTGAGCCATGTACTGCTGAGGCAGAATCTTGCCTCACAGGCTGTCAGGCTGTCCTGCTCCCTCCTTCCCGGAAATGGAAAGGTCGCTTCTCCCGCACACTCTTTACCTTCCGAGTTGCACACCTTTGAGTTGGCATGGCGTGGCTTCTTTGGTTTATAAATCATCATTTTTATACGAGTGTTGGGCCTGATTCTCACTAGTCTTAGCTAAACATAGTCACTTCACTCCCCTCATCAGTGATGGGTTTAGGGATGGGCTTTGGCACAGTTCAGGCCCGTGGAGAAGGAGAAAGCTGATGTGCGTGAAACAACAGACCTGAGATGATAGCCACCGTGCTGCTTTGGTGCAGAGGACGGGACACACACACACACACACACACACACACACACGATGATGATCTGGCTGGGATGGCGGCATTGATGGTACAGCAGCACTGGAAGTGCCACCTCCAGACTCTTATAGTGACAGTAAATCCTGGTGTCTTACTTCTTAAGCAGCTGAGTATTCTGCTCCTTTATTTTCGTAACTGTCTGTGAGTTATCTTAAAATAATAATGGTGCAGTAGACGAGTGGGTAAAAAGCTGTAGTATGTTTACTCAAGGGGATACTACTCAGCCATAAAAAAAAGCAGGAAATCCTGCCTTTTGTGACAGCATGAATGAACCTGGAGATTATTATGCTAAGTGAAATAAGCCGATCAGAGAAAGACAAGTACCACATGATCTCACTTATATGTGGAATCTAATGAACAAAATAAAGAAACAAAATAGAAACAGACATATATATATACAGAGAACAGACTGACAGCTGTTAGAGGGGAGGGGGATTGGAGGTGGGTGAAACAGGTGAAGGGATTAAGCAAAAGCAAACAAACAAACAAAAAACAACTTCATAGACACAGACAACAGTGAGGTGATTACCAGAGGTGGGTGGAGGTAGGAGGGGGTAAATTGCAGATAAATGGTGATGGAAAGAGACTTGCTTTTGGGTGGTGAACACACATTAGACAGATGATGTATTATATAGACGTGAACACCTAAACTGTATAAATGTATTAACCAATGTTACCCCTAGAAATTCAATAAAAATTTTTGTTTCCTGTTTTAAAAAAGAAAACATTAAGTTTATGTAGGTTCTAAACCTCCTTTGAAAAATGAAGAAAGAAAAAATAACAAAGTACTCCCAAAATACTGTAGTAGTTATGTCTAGGAAGTGGGATTCTCAACAGTTTTCTTTTTTAGACATTTCCATAGTATTCCAGTTTTCCTCACTGTGCCTGTATTAGTTTTTAAGTCAGAAAAACAACTTTGTGTGAGAAAGTAGCTATAATGTGTATAATTGCATGGTCACAATCGGGTGTACAACTTGGGCCAGGATTGCCCCAGGAGGTGGCGAGAGTGTCAGCACCACCGTCCTGCAGCTGGCTGCTCCTCTCCCCCTGGGGCGCTAGACCCACTTCCCACAGCACTAGACCCGCTGCGGCCCCCTGGCTCTCTGCAGAGGTACTGGGAGCGGAGGTGCGGGACCTGCTGCCTAGGCCATGGTGTTGAGCGAGTGAGCCCTTGCCCTCCCCTCTGCCCCAGGATAGAGCCCCACGCCTGCCTGCTTTCTGTCCCACAGGCCCCGCAGGCTGGAGCCCATGTGCTCAGAGCTGCAGGCTCAGATCCTTCGCTGCTACCGCGACCGCCTGAATGAGGTGCTCCTGTGCTCGGACCTGGTCAAGGCTTACCAGCACTGCGTGAGCGCTGCCCACAAGGTAAGGCCCGGGGCTTCTGGGCTGTGGGGGCGTGGGGGCGGGCACTGCCAGTGCTGACAGCTGTCTGCCATCTCTGTCTGCTGCATCAGGCATTCTAACCTCAAGGTCTCTGCCTTTCACACGGGGAGGGACTCATAGGAGGGACTTAGAAGCTCTCAGGTGCCTCCTGGTTCAGGTGTCCTGGCCGGCTGTTCCCACAGGGCTCTTGCAAATCTAGACTAGGAAAAGGGTCCTGTGGGCATTTGGGCCCCACTAGGTCAAGTTCAGGGGCAGCACTGGCAAAGTCAGGCCCCACCTTCAAGGGGCCAGTTAAGAGCATGCATATGCCGCCCATTTCTTACCTTTGAGCACTTGGGGGTGAGAGCACGGAGGAGGGCCCATGGCATAGGGTGGAGATCATGGAAAAGGCAGGTGAGCCCCGTGGAAGGAGAAGAGCCTTGGGGTTCTGGAGGTGGAGGCACAGGTGTGGCCTGCCTCAGAGGAGGAGGGGACCGAGGGCACCCCCCTGCCCACCCCTCTCCTAAGGTTGTCTGAAGGGGCATGCAGGACCCAGCCTCTGTGAGAAAGGAGTAACAGTGGGTCCAGGTCTCAGGGGCCTGTGGTTGTCCTAGACATCTGAGGTGAGCAGCATCCCTCCCCTGAGACTTGGTCCTGGGACCTTGTTCTCCTCCTCTGATCCTCCCAATCAGTTCCCGTTCCCTTCCTCACACCTCCCAATTTCTGTCCCTCTTCTAGACCATTCCATCCCCTCCCCAAGTACACTGCTCCAGACTGGACCTGCCCCTCCTCACCCTGACATAGCTCCCCCACACACATACTTAGGGGCACTTGGGTTCCGAATCACCAGAGGGCTGGTGTGTTTGTTAAAGGAGCTGTGGGGTGGGGCCTTTTTCCTATGGAACAGCCTCTTTTGCCCAAGTAGGAGACAAACTGCTGTGAGTTCTGGTGGTGGAAATTCTAAGATCAGAAGTCAAGGGTTTCTCTGCTGCTCAACAGCCTGGCCTCACTACAGCCCTTCTCACTCTTCTGTCCGCCTGTTGGAGGCTCTACCCAGCTCACACCTGCCCGGTGCCGCTGTGGGACAGAGGGAGCCCAGCAGCAGGTCCGCACGGGATCAGGTGGAGGCAGCGGCTGGATAGGAGGTCGTTTCCTCTCCCCTGCAGAGCATGGAAAGCTGTTTGCTCATCTTCAATTTGAGCAGAAAAGACAGCCAACCGTTGCTGCAGCACTGTTGAGGGAAGGAGTCTGGAGCTAGGTGGCTTGCTAGACCACACTGGGGGCCATGGAACCGAAGGAAGGCTCTTCCATGCCTTGTGCATCTGCCGAGGTCTTTGTGAAAGTCTGCAGAGTACCTTTCCCCTGACAGGTCCTTCCAAGCCCCTGCTCACCCATAACGGGGGTTATTTTTACAAGGGAAAGACTTGGGACTGAGGCAGCTCCCCTGGCTTCCCAGCAGAGTCCTGTCTCTGTCCTCCCTCTCTCATCCAGACCTGTGTCTCCTCCCCCCTACCCCCCCCACCGCCACCACACACACACACACATACCAAGGCCAAGGTATGATCACAAAGGAAGGCAGATTGCATTTAACCAGTAGTGCTCACTCTAGCTCCAGCATGCCTGAGAGAGACTGGGGCGCTGCCAGGCCTGGCTCCCTCTTTCCCACACCTGTGCCTCCCCTCCCCCCAGAAAAGCATGTTGGACCTGACTCCAGAAGGGCCTCTGATTGTGCCCTGCGTGGGAAAGGCAGCCGGTGCCAGAGAAACTCAAACTGCCCCCTGCCAGCCTCCACTGGCAGAGCTGGCGATGGAGTTCAAGGCTCTAATAGTGATTTGCTTCTAGAAGCGGCCAGGTGGCAGTGTCTCTGGCAGAGGGAGTAGGCACCGATCAGAGGCCCACCTTGCTGGGAGTTGTGCACGAGGCGCTTCTCAGAGCACGGGCAAGCTCCTGCCCGGTGCAGCACCTGCCCAGCCTGGTGACGTGTGTGTGGATGTGGACGTGACAGCAGGTGAAAGCCTGAGTCCAGGACATGCTCTCTGAGTGGTTTCCCGTAGGCAGTTCTGAGAGAACAGGGGAGACCTGGTGGGGCCGAGGAGAACTGAGCTGAGGCCCATCTGTCTTCGGGGCGGGAGGTCAGGTGAGTAGAGGGTCCATGTTAGCTGGTCCTTGTGGCATGCACTGAGTGAGCACTGGGCCTGGAGGTGGAGAGGCCAGTTCCAGGCTGCAGGACCAGCTGGGCAGGACTCTTTCTATTAACGCCCTCTTGGAGCCTAGGCCTGGGTGCACAGGATTTTTGAGAGAAGGGGGTCATGCCTGAACTCTGACCTCTTTTCCTTTGTAGGGCTGAGAAGCAGCCATCATTCCTGGCCTTGGCGATGACTTGGAGCCTTGAAGAAGAGACCAGTTATGGGACCACAGCCTCCAGACCCCTGACCACAGCCATCTTCTGCCAGGTGCCCATGATGCTTAAGAAATGAAGGATGTGCTTCTGTCCGAAAACAAATAAAGCAGCTGTCTGTGTTTTCAGTCACTTCTACACCTGGCAAACAGTCATTGGGGTCTCCTCTGTGCAGCCCTGTTCTGGGGCCCAGCAATGTAGGCTGACAGGATAGGCTGGACACCTCAAGGAGCACCCAGCCTCGCAGGGGAGACAGGTGGGACCCATAATTTTGCTGTGGCCACAGGGGCAGGTAGGAGATTAAATGGGGGAAATGGTTCTTTCTAGGGACAGAGCCAGGACAACAGGCCAGCTCCCTGGCAGAGGCTCTGTCAGCTCCATTTCTGAAGCTGAGGGATGACTCCAGGGCAAGCCAGAGGAGGCTTAGAGTGGGATCCCAGATGCGGGCTCGGGGGAGCACAGACTGCGTGCAGCTGGGCGTTGCAGAGAGCAAAGTGGGAGCCGGAGGGCAGGGGGTAGATGCCAAGCTGAACTGCTTTGGGGGGTGGAGGGATGGTCTCTAGCAGGGAGCAGCGTTGTTCAATCCCTCCCTCTGAATGATGCCACCCACACTCCTAGGGAAGGATTGGCCCAAGTGGGGCAGGGCACTTGAAGGTATGAGAAGCCAGAGAGAGGCTGGTGGGGTGAGCTAGGGGAGCTAAAATGACAGGACTCTGGTTTTGATTGAGGATGATTTCCAAATTTCTGGCTTGGGTGCTGTTGATTCTATAGACTGAAATGAGAGACACAGGGACTGAAGGGGGCAGATGACAGCTGGGTTTGAGATGTGCTGTACTCAGTTGATGTCCAAACACTGTCCTGCTAGTCCATGACCTTTGGCAGGGCCCTAGGCTGAGGCGCCTTGAGCACCCAGGCTGCACTCTGTGAGGCCGAAAGAGGAATTTGAATTGGGGGCGGGGCTTCTGCTTCTGCTGACCTTGGATTTTCTGCTAAAGTTTGTTTGGAGAGCCCCCAGCCATCTGGAGCGAAGAGACTGCACAATCTTAACTTAGGCTTTGCAGCCCAGACATTGCTGTTCACCCCTAGATCCTCATACACAAAGCTCCAGTGGGCAGTGGGCCGTGTCCTGTTATCTGAGCAGGTAGAGGAAGCAGTTTTATTCAGCTGGGTTACATAGTGGCAGCCCCCTCTAGATGTTCTGGGCTCCTTTACCAGACCACACAAAGGTGAGTGGTCAGGGCCTGAGCCCCTCCCAGCCAACTCCTGGCAGCCCAGGGCGGGGCTGGCCCTCTGCAGGGTCAGGCTGCTGGAGTCACAGGTCACCTGGTTCATTATCTTAAGTGACATCAGAGCAGCCATTCAGCCAAAAACTGCTGAGGCCTTTCTGAGACTCCCTTAGAAGCCTCTGGTGTCCAGGGTGTTGTCCAACTTCCAAATCACACAGGAATAACTCCAGACTCCATCCTCCTACCCAGGAGTCACTTGGGGGCAGCTGTGTGTACACCTGGGTCTGTGTGTACCTGTTCCTTTGTGTGTGTGTGTGTGTGTGTGTGTGTGTGTGTATGCCTTTATGTGTGTGTGCACATGTGTATGTGTACTGGGCTATGTGCACAGTCCACGTGTAGCTTTTTACCTGTGATGTGTGTTTAGGTGCCTTTGTATGTGTGCACAGGCAGCCAGCCATGTTCACCACCTGCTAATGCTCCCAGCCTCTCTGTACTTGGATCTTAGCCCATTTCCTGTAGAGTTAGAACTGAGCTTCCCTTGCCTGATGTCCACCTCTCCCCTACTGGGGACTTGAGGTATGTGTGTCCAGAGCCATCTGTATCAGGGGTGCGTGTGTGGGGGGGTGCGTGTGCTCAGGGTTCAGGCGTTGTGTGCATATGTGCATGTACCTGTACATTACTCGCTTATGTGTGGACCTGTCTCCAGTCCCGCCACATGGCCATACCTCACAGAAAGTCAGGCCTAAGAGAGATTGTGTGGGGGAGGGGTGTGTTCAGTAAGGTGTGGACCTGGAGGCAGACATTCACATTCCTGGACTCAGGTCCCAGCTGTATGACTACTGAGAAGGAGGGAGTGTGAATGCCCATCCCGCCCGGTTGTGGGGGATTAGATATGATGATGCTGGCTGTGGCATATGGGATCCAACCAGGACACTAGAAAACACTGTAATTATTTAAACATAGGGAATTTAATGCAGGGAGTTGATCACAAAGGAGATGGAGGAGCTGAAACCCCAATGGGATAGTGTTATAACCCAGGAATTAGTAACAGTGGGAAGATCTGTCACCTCTGGTTTAGAAGGACAAAGGGAAGAAGCAGAATTGCCCAGTGGAAGCTGGCACCCCGGGGGTTGGGGCCACCAAGGGGACACAGCTGCTGCAAGAGGTGCTGCCTATGGGCTTCCCCTCCTCCCACCCTCCAGCCTCCATTCATTCGTGCCTCCCCTTGGCTGAAGCTAGTAGGGTTGGAGGGCAAGGCAGCCCCGGAGCTGCCCCTTGCATGGAGGAGTGGCACGAGGCCCAGGACCACAAGCAGATCAGCAGGAAGCACATCAACATGACGTTTGGGGTGTACTGAGCAGGCATGTGTGCCTGTGCTTGGGTGGGTGTGAGTAGTGGGTGCCAGTGGCAGCACGTACACACACCTGTGTGCATTTATAGCTTGTATTGGCACATGGTGGCCAACTATCAGTCAGCCCCAGCAGACACCCACGGGCCAGGTTCTCTCCACACCTGTCTCCCACGGGCCTGCAGAATAGTTCCGCAGTTAGTGCCACACTTTACAGACCACGGAACTGTGGTGCAGAGAATCAGAGCAACTAGCTCCAGGTTGTGCAACCTGGCCCAGTGGTTGCCTCTGGGCAGAGTCTGGATCTCCTTGAATAAGGAGCTTTTCCACGGGCTATAGGGGCAGTGAAGTTAGGAGAGGAGCAAGGCAGGGTCCAACGTGCGCCAGGAGGGAGGCCCCCATGGGTCGCCTTAGTTATTCCTCTTTTGCACAACAAACATGGCATTGAATGCTTGCTGTGTGCAGTCATGGTTCTAGTGCTGGAGGTGCAGCCTTGAGCAGAGCACAGCTGCCCCCAGGTTCTTAGAGATCCGCAGGGGAGACGGACAAGATAAAATCGATGATCTAAGATGTTTTGCAATGGGGGAAAGTCGGGGGCCCAGGAGTGCCAGAGGTGGAAGTTGCCATTTCCAGTGAGAACAGGATACCTGTACCCCCACTCCCTGGGGGTTCCCACTCCCAGACAAGCCAGCTGCCAGCCTCTCTGAGGCCCTGGAACCAGCACAGCCAAACCCAGGTTACTCTTAAGGAAAAACACTTGCACTTCATACCTGATAACCTGCCTCATTAAATTTAATGGGCCAGTTATTCCCGTAAAATAAACATCAACTAATTATAAAAAACACATTTGCTGAAGTTTGACTATGGAATGAATAAACCAATTACATGGTTATTCAGCCTCAAAACACACACAGCAATGAAGGGGACAGACCACAGCAGGGGCGGGGGTTGTGGGGAGTGGGCTGGTGGAGCACTTGGAATTCAGAGTCCCCATCCCTCCCCACTTCCATCCAGAGCTCAGTGGGCCTCAAGAAAGTCAGCATCTCGGAGAGGTGGGCAGACTGCAGCCCACACTGGGGCTGACTCGGACCCTGCTTCAGTCAGGACCCTTTTAGCGCAAGTGACAGAACAGTACAAATGGACTTTAGCAAAAGAGTGTGTTGGCTCATGCGATTGAAAAGTCAAGAAGGAGGCCTCAGCATGGTGGATCTGAGAGATTAAACAGTGGCTGGGACTGGTCTCTTTCCTCCTGTCTCTTTGCTCTGTCCTCTCTGTGGCCTTCACTCATGGGCTCCATGAAGTGCCCCAATGATTCATGCCTTGTAGAGTTTCTCTTTCCCTTTAGCTCCAGCGTGTAGTTGAAAGGCAGGTAATAAATTGCTCTAGAGCTGACAAAGTGATATCAGGAACCTCTCAGGGGAGGCCAATAAACATACAAAAAAAATGTTTCACACCCTTACGACTCATCAGGGAAATGTAAAAGAAAGCCATAAAGAAATACTTCTACACACCCATCCACTGGCTGAACTTCCAAGGACAGACAACACCAGGTGCTGGTGAACATGAGCAACCTCTGGGCCCTCAAACACTGCTGCTAGGAGTGCAGGATAATTATACTACTTTGAAAAATGACTGGGCAGTTTCCTATAAAGTTAAACATTCACCTACACTCCAAATGCAGCAATTTTACTCCTGTATCGATACTTAGGAGAATGAATATGCATGGTCATTAGATGTTACATACAGAAATGTTCGTATCCTATCTAATAAAGAGGGAGTATGCTAATTGACCCTCATGCTGTTGCAAAGATGGTGGCGCCCACAGTGAATAAGAAGAGAATATGCTAATTGACTTCCCCACCCTTAAAGATGGCAACACCCACAGCCAATAAGGAGGGAATATGCTAATTGACTGTCACACCCTCAAAAGATGGCGGCACCCAGTCCCCTCAGCCCAAGGCCACCCGAGGGCTTGTGCTGCCAGCTGTGGCAGCAGCAGAGGTGTGATGGGGGCATCATATTCCCCTGATAGCCAGGTAGCATCCCACCCCTGAGGGCTTCCGGATTGTGAGAGGGGGCAGGCCAGTCTGAGGGACCCCTTCCCCCCTTCAGTGCATGAATTTTCATGCACTGGGCAGCGAGTCTATATGTATATAAAAATCTAGGCGACTGACCATCCAACTGGTAGCTATGATGTGCAGTGACCACCAGGGGGCAGATGCTCAGCGCAGGAGCTACCAAACTGCAGTGACTTGGCAGCTGCGCTTCTTGGCTGACACACCCAGAACTAGAAAGGAGGGAGACTGATTTCGGGGATTCATCACCCGAGAAGCTCCCTCTTGTAATCTGGGATGGGGGAAGGGTGTCAGAGAGCCAATTTTGGCCCAGTCCCCAGAGGCCAGACCGAGGGACCCCACCAGTGCATAATTCTGTGCATTGGGCCTCTAGTGGCTTTATAACAGCCTAAGTGTCCTCAGACAGTAGAATGGGTAGGTGGTGGTTTATTCATACAACAAAATACTACCAAGCAATGAAAAGAACAAACTAGAGCTCCCATG